GGTGAGCGTAATTTCGCGATACGGCGACGATGCTCGGCATAATTAATGTCGAGCGTTGCGAGGACGCTAACGAGACACGCGTTTTTCTCACGATGCGTTTCCATACGTACGTCGAAAGCCTCTGAGCGGAAGCGACGAAACGATCACGCGAATTCAGCTCGCAAATTGATGCGATTTGAGATAAGCGTCGCGTTAATGACATCGCGTTTCCCGGCGAAACGGCCGCGTAATCAGAACGAACGCGATTTCACTGAATCCGCCGAGAATCGTGCCAGGTGAACGAGAAATGTGTATATTACGGATTTAGGAAAAATTTCGATGACCTATCGTATTATCTATATCATCTTAGAAATATTTTTGAAAATGTCACGAGTGTGGAGTGCTTTGTATACTGTTCGAGATTTTGGAATGCAGATTACAATTCTTCATAACAGATACATTACTCGAATGTAATTTTTCTTAACAAAATTTTGTTGTAAGGCAAACATGAAGTGTGCTATTAAAAATCGATGTTAAACGCTTCGTTGTGATATTAGTTCTTACAATAAAATAATAGCACGAGTATGTGGTGTTATCGTGAACACGTTCTTGTTTGGAAGACGTATTAACAAAAATTAGAAAAATGGTATTCGATGAAGATGGTCTTATATTCCAACATGTGAAATGAATGTGTTGTTAACCACATCAAATCAAAGATTTCAAGAAGCAAAAATATGTGAATAGATGGAAATTCATGTGAGATGATTCATATGGTGCTTGTCATGTGACCATCATGTGAAGCATCATGTTACTATAAATATTTTGTTTAATATATTCGATGAAGTTTATGGAATGCCACACAGCCCCTATATAATATTGACTAAGACGTGTGGTAATGATATGTATTATAAACCATCATAAGAGTACAGTTATTCTAGCCGTGTTTCGAGTATATATTATGTAAAAGTCATGAACACATTAACCTTCTCAGGTATCAGCAACCAGCATTTGAATTAATTATAAAATGAGAGGTCAAAGAGAAATCTCAACCCCAATACTGTATTAATACTAACGACAAAGCTGAAGAAAATGGAAAACTTATATGATCCTTAATCTACTGTATAATAATTGCAAAACTGCTAAAACGACGATGCATATCGATATATTCAAGGAAAATCACAACTTATCAATCTAAATAATTTATGTTATGTATCATAAACTTATGTTCATAATATCATAATATTAAGTTACACCAACTTAATATTAATTTATATAGTAAACTTAATATTAATATCAAACAGTATAATATGCATATGAAAAGGAACTCGAATCGCTGTACAAATATCCAGCAACCTCGAACAGCATACAAAGCTTGAAAAGAAGGCATTCGCTCGAAGGATCCCAAGGGTGATTCATAAAATTCAACAACAGAAAATCCACATTGATGTAATCAGCATATCAGTTTAATCACACATAGCCGTCTAATGTACAATTAGGAAGTTGCTTCGACTGTATCTTTGGTATCGTTGCACTGAACTGATTCACGGTGATCGCCGTAGAACACTCTACATATATTACCGTACACCTATGTACATCTACTCTCGAAACTTGTATTCGATATATCGACGATTCGTTAATCGTTGTCACCTCTCTAGCGAGGAACTTGATCGTGTCGAACATAAATTCGACGAACACGTTCTTCTTTTCTTCTTCTTTTTCCAGAACGCTAATTACACATTCGTGGTCTTCTTTCTTCTAGTTTCTTTCTTTGTCGTTTCTTGGTCCGTGAATGAGTTTCGCCTCGCGCGACAAACCATCGCGATACCACTGTCGCCTAACGTACTAACGTTTATTCGTTTCCTTCGTAATATTTATATAAATTACTTAACGCTCTATGCGTAGACTCTCGATATATTGCCGCTATCTGGTGCTTTCTCTGCTGTCTTTAATGAATCATGTGCGTTATATTGCTAGGTTTCCGTTATATGGCCACGCGGTATATGGCCATTTTTACGCGCTGTATGGCAATGTACAAGTATGTGGTATATTGCCATTACATCGCCGTAAATGATATATGGAGATATACTGATTATTGATAGATTATTGATACTTGTCGATATATCGGAAATTTTGGAGTTGAAAGGGTGGAAATTGGGGGAATCAGAAATTGGGAAAGTGAAGAATCGGAAAATTGTGGAGTTGGAAGATTGGAAATTTGGGACTTGGGAAGTTGAGATTTTTAGAAATTGGAAAATGTGGAAGTGGAAAATTTAGAAATTGGGGACTTGGTAATTGGGTGATTTAGAAAATAGAAAATTTGGAAATGGGAAAACTTGGAAATGGGAAAAATAGGAAATTGGAAAATTTGGAAATTAGAAAAATTGGAAATTGGAAAAATGGGAAATTGGAACATTTGGAAATTGGAAAACTTGGAAATTGGAAAATTTGGAAATGGGAAAACTTGGAAATGGGAAAAATGGGAAAACTTGGAAAATGGAAAAATAGGAAATTGGAAAACTTGGAAATTGGAAAATTTGGAAATTGGAAAAATGGGAAATTGGAAAATTTGGAAATTGGAAATCTTGGAAATTGGAAAATGGAGAAATTGAGAATTAGGAAATAAAAGAACTGACAATTCATTCAAATACATTGAAACAATAAATTATCGATATTTACAGACAATTATATCAATAATCTTGAATTAATACCGCCATTGAGCACGGAAACCACCTGCAAAACCAAAATCTTTCTGTTCCATCCAAAATTGCACCACCCGTGGCAATGTAACGAGTCTACCATATATAGAGAGATATTTCGCTGGAGGATAGCGCGGCGGTTCTGCGTGTTTCCGCAGAAATGAAATAAATAAATTGTTCGTGTAATACACGCGTAAAGAGGACAATTTACAATACGTCAGAAACAATATGTATAGCTACCAAATAGTTGCATGTAGGTTTCGATGTATGTACATCTATAGTCGGATTAATGCTTCGACGAGCTAACCTGCGGATCCTGAAATCGGATCGAACGAGTGTATCGTAGAGTATAAAACGGGGCTCCATTGTTGGCACATTCGAGATTGCATCGGCTGCAACTCTATTGTTCGTTGATGGACGAAATGCTTGTTGTTCCGAGTCGCGAGTCGCGTGCTCGAGCGAGCAACGAATTTTTAATCGATAAATCGGAAAAATATACCGAATGATCCATGCGAACCAAACGTCTGCCTAGCACTTTTTTCGCGGTCTTCTGTACTTTGTATACGGGAGAACACGTAATAAAATACCCGATTATCGGTCGATCGATGGCGTATCGAGAATTTGAGCATTCGCGGGTGCATCATTTCATCCGCACGAATCAGCCCGTGTTTCCATTAAAAAATAAAGAAAACCCTTACGAGTCTAAACCGTTCGGTTAACATTTTCTATCGTCCCTAATGACGTTCGAAACACGTAGTACTACGTTCTAAGAGATTGGTCGAACAAGATCTATGCAATTATAAATTACGGGTCGAATAAACGTTTGCTAATATTGCACTCGTAGTACTACGTTTTCGTGGACTAGCGATCAATCACGATTTGTCCCCGGCACTCTAACAAACCCCTTCGTTGATGCTCTTTCGAATCGATAGTTTCCTGTCGAAACATTTTTCCCTCTCGAAAAAAGATCCCGTTTGATCGTGTACTATCGACTCGTCTATCGATTTCTATCGAACAACGCGGCCATTGAAGGCTTCACGGCACGTGTGACCTTTTCTAATCGGTTACACGTGTCCCCCTTCGATCATACTTTTTGCGAACCACCTCCTTTAATTTCCACGGCTCGTATTTTGCCGACACACATCGAGGAAGCATGCTCTCTACTTCGAACTACGATTTCTAAGATAGCTGCGCTACGCGAGTATACGAAAATGCGAGGAAAGTACAGTCACGTGCAAAGATGTTCTTTCTTGAGGTTTAGCTTGGGGAAAAATTACCTTGCGTCTAGTTTGATCTCAATTCTTAATTTATTACGAGTTTCATGGTATTTTAAGTGTAGATAAGAGGTTGAGTTATGTTTGAGTTAAATTCAGACACATGATGGATTTGAAATTTAAACACAAAAAGTGTAAGTTGAATTTGAGTCCTAAGTTAACGATCTAGATTAGTGTTAAATTATGTTTGAATTTTAACAAAAAGCTCTTCTGATTTGAATTACATCTCACAAAACCTTGATTAAAGTTGAGTATAACCACTCTTTTGATAAAGGACCAAAACGAGCTTCAAAGGTAATTTCCCCAAATTTCTCCAAATCCTGAACGTCATCCATGCGCGCGACTGTATTCGATTACACACCGCGGTGAAATCGCATTGTCCTCTCGTCCTCGGTGGACCTCGTTCGCCTTCTTTACACCTTAACATACTCCCGCAATAGTGTATACCTATAGAACTATGTACTATTGTAAACGTGATAAATACAAAGTGTGCGTATAGCCACGGGTTAATGGTGGTGTGTTGTTTGGCAGTTTCTCGTGTTCCATTCTCCCTCTTCCCCGTATCACCATGGTGGATCCACCTGAATCTTCTCTCTGCTCTGCTTATAATATACATACATAGTGCAATCTTTGGTTTCGACTATCGTGTTCGTATTCACAATCTACGCTCGTGTACGAGGCTCCGATGTGAACTCTCTCTTCTTCGTCGTTCGAAAGAAACGTGGTGAACGGGGCTCCCTATCCTAAAGATTCGTTAATAATTAGAATCTAGTTACTAGACGATCGTTAGGCCTGCTCCACGAAAGAGCTACGTTGTTCAACGATGCAGTGGCTACAGCTCGAAGCTGTGCTCTTCGAGAACTACCTCGATCGGGCGACTCGGGGTATCGAATCGCGATAACTCCGTGAAACATTCAAAATATATGTTAGATAGGTATTTGGTACCGTTTCGCAATGTAACTTCGTTTCCTAATCGCGAGGTTCGTCGAATTAGCGCGCCTCACGAACACGCTAATTGCATGGAGCTTCTTCCCGTCTGTTAATTGTTCAATTTTTTTTTTTGTCTTTTTTTCTTGTTTGACTATAATACGTGCGTGCGCGCAAACGCTTAAACGTGAAATACAAAAGGAGATAAGGACTGTCAGTCTTGGATGATGAGAACGTCGACAGAAACGGTAGCGACCCGTGGACGAAACCTGATGCGGAAATCCACGGATCGAAGAGAAAATTCGTTCAGTCTCATCGGTCGTTATCGATTGATTGCACGGGATGAAAATTGAGCATTCGCGAATTCGTGAAACTCGCCTGCATCTTTTCTTCCTGCCACGGGAATGTATATGCGTGTTTCGTAAATGCCTTTTGTGCACGAAGGTCTTCGATTAATTTATCTTCGTTTCTTAATTTATACGTCGATGTTAGCCATCCGTGCCGACAAAACGTCGTGCGCTATACCTAGAAAATATCTACATACTTCATGCCGAAGAACACTATGTTACTCGAATAATACTGTTGGCGAGAGTAGCGCCTCGTTTGCAACATTTCCTGGTTCGCCCCTTCCGACATTTAATCTCGTTGCACGAGCCGCGCGAAATGTGTAAAAGATGAGCACACGGTTGCCCTCCAGAGTCTTCTCGGTCCTCTAATGCCCTCGACGTAGAAAATCACAGTGTCATCCCGTTTCAGGGTCGCAACGCGGTTCCGGAGGCGCAGAGTTTGGCAAAAAAATTCGAAATTCGCTTACTTACCCGAACTGGCTTCTTCGCCGGCGGTTCACACCGGGCGAGCGAAAAGTAATCGTAAAAACGTGTAAGGCTACTAGAAAAGTTCGAAAGATAAAAAAAACACGGGCACCCGTGTCGCGTAACAGTGATTAATCCTGACCGAGGACCAAGATCCAAATTCGAGTTCAACTCGTGTTCGACTCTACAGCGTCGCTTGAGAAACCGACTGATCGCGTTAACGATTTGCATCGGGCCCTTCCGAACGACGGTCATCCCGTCACGAGCTCGTTCGAACAACGATCGTCTACCTATCGATCATCCGTCGAGAACGATCGCGTCTCGCGACGTGAGAAAGGAATCTTCAAGGGTTCCTGCAATCCAGAAAATCCCAAATTCCGGAACAGATATCGGACCAGAACCCCGGACTCTAAAGTTCCTCGGACAGGGCGATCGGGGCTCTGGAACCGGGCTTCATGTCCTTCACGCCTATCCCGATATCGTCGACCGGCGTCGGCGCCAGTTTCAGTTGGTTCCCGTTTATTTTGATATCGTTCACCGAATGGGATCTGCCGTGGGTCACCAGAGGCTTAGCTGTCTGGTTGGTGCTGGTGTTCGAGTTCGAGCTACTGACGGAATTCGTGCTGGGACTGGTGGCGGGATTCGAACTCGAGGTGCAATTCGCGGTGGTGCTTGATCCGGAACTCGAATTCGAGTTCATGTCATGGCCGAGACTGGGAACCACGGATTGGACGATCGGATTGGGAATGGACGACTTGGACCGTGGTTTTAGCTTTGGATTGGAACAGTTCGCGTTCGTGATTTGCACGGAAGGCTGATCGTGCTCCCGGTTGGCGTCTGGAGCCGCATCCGGTGAGATGGACATCTTGACGGGCGCTGGAGACTTGGACAACGTCGTCAACTGGTTGGCGGACTGGGAACGGACCGTGTGACTACCTAGCTTGTCCCTCAGCGCCATTTGATAGGCTACCTCGAAGGCCTGGCCTAGAGTTAGGATCACCTCGGTCGCTTGGTCCTGGAACAAGCAAACCTTGCTTCGTAGACTTCTCGAAGTTCGGTGAGGAAATCGAGTTGGTTAACACAGTTGTTCATGGATTAGAATTATGGTTGTTCAAGGATTATTTGAATTATGGTTGTTGAAGTATTATTTGAATTATGGTTGTTCAAGAATTATTTGAATTATGGTTGTTCAAGAATTATTTGAATTATGGTTGTTCAAGGATTATTTGAATTATGGTTGTTCAAGGATTATTTTAGTTATGGTTGTTCAAGAATTATTTGAATTATGGTTGTTCAAGGGTTATTTGAATTATGGTTGTTCAAGAATTATTTGAATTATGGTTGTTCAAGGATTATTTGAATTATGGATGTTCAAGTATTATTTGAATTATGGTTGTTCAAGGATTATTTGAATTATGGTTGTTCAAGAATTATTTGAGTTATGGATGTACAAGGAGTTTTATCTTTGCACAATTTCAATCTCCGATATCATATATTCTGTAGTTAGATAATTCAGGAAGATTGATCGCATTCTGATGAACCGCGGAACTTAATGTAATTTACAGTTTAATGAGTAAATACTCGAGTAAATTACGATGTTGATTCGTAATTATGAAAATTATTGAAGGAATGTACTCACCATAGTTGGTACGCAAAAGACGTGGCAGAAATGCGTACGACTGGCATGATCCTTGGTGATGTACGCGAAATGGGTTAGATCGTCGGCATCCTGGCAGGCGCAGTGAATGTTGCGAATTTCGTGCTCGCAAATCGGCTCCTATCGATTCGCATCATCCGAAATGTACATAGGCAAACAGGATAAGCGTATTAAGGTCCAACGTTAATCCTTCGCAACGTAACTCAAATTCCATAAACACAGGGAAATTCAGCTTCCTCTGCATCTACCTCATTATACCGTATCACGCTAATTATTTCCGCGAGCCACGTATTAGGCTGCCAATCAAATTCGCTTACGCGTTCTTTCCTCCATTAAATTTATACGAGATTAGAACTTAATCAAATTCGTAGTCAATTTTTGTATTCGTAATAGGATTATTTGAAAAGACTAACGTTGCTCGGATGATTATGCATGCTTTGATAACAATGACTAGAAAAATCTCTTACGTTAGTCACCGTGTTGAGAAAACGAACACCGCGATAAGAAATCGCCAGGGAGATATCGGGAGTGACTCTCGGTTCACGGCACGTTTTCTTCAGCTTCTGTATGGACTTCTTGGTCGACTCGGTGCCACGCAACTCCTTCACGACGGTGGAGCCCAGATACTACGTGATTTTAAAACAAAAGGAACACTTTGTCTCCAGATACGTCATTGGTAGAACTATCAAATTAACAGTCTTATTTCGTATTAATCTGTTCAATTTGATACATGACGCATACACATGTAACTTTGATGAGAGCGTTAATTGAAACTTTAAACATCGTGACCTAAACAAATATTCAACGCAAACTTTCAAATAGGTAATCCTTTAATTATTGAGATATGTAACCATATAATTATTACTATCGATTATTTGATTATTAGAGACTATTCAAATTTTGTTTGCTATCAAATTGAATTATAAATTTTTAACACTCCGTGCTTTTAACAAAACGATTGCAATGAAGAAACAGTATGATATCAAGGTCTTAAATTCTGGCTAAGAGAGTTTCAGACAAAACACCGTGAAAAGTAATGCTCCGAATGAAATGTGTTATTAGCTACACCCACGTGATCATTATGGTAATAGGCCTTCACCTTGAGGCATTGTCACGACTATCTGGCTGACATCACAGGACGCACTCATTATTTAAGAACCACGTTTCATAAAGCATGACAGAGGACTGAATTACGGAGTACAATTACCTACTAGGCTAGTTCTTGATTATAACACTTGCTAACAACATGGTGTCATTGTGAAGGATTAAACAGTTATATATTATCATCTTTATCATAATAAAAACTTCGAAACCCCGTTACATAAAATCGCTGAAATTGCAACCACGATTGCATCGAGTTCAGCAGCCACCGAAAAAGAAGAAACCTAAATATTTTCGAGCGGTAAAACCGATCCACATGCTCCACACGTAATTTCTCTAATGTATTCAATGAACGTAGAAGATACGTGATTCGAGCGCAAGAGTCAGTCTACGCGAAATAGCAAGTACAGTTTGGAAAACGTCGATGATAGGAAGAGGAAAGCAATTAGACTTACGTTGGCAACGTAGGTGACGCAGCCGGTGACTAGAGCTTTTGGCTGGTGCCTCCATTGCGTCTTGAGGGTTGATGGCACACCGAGCAACAACTCCGACGGTGCCCTGATCTCGAGTTGTTCCGGTGCCGGGATCGCCCCATTATGCGAACTGGGTCGTTGGGGTGGCTGCGGGGCTGGCCTGTTTTTACGGTGCCTTAACGTACCGGTGGTAGTCGAATTCGTTCCGGCTATCGGCGCACCGCCATTACCCTCCGTCGTTGTTTCCGGTAGTTTTTCCCGTATCTCCTCCTTTAGTTGCTGTATACTCGTCTTCTGCGGAAACGAGATGCGAGCTTCAGCAGACCGGTGTCTCGTTCAGAAACATTACTGCGTCTCGTCTTTTCTACTTCGTATTTGTTAATCAGTACAGGCTCTTACGCTTATCAAGTTTCTGTGGAATATTGAACTGTAGCGACACTATTGGAGGAGACTTTTTGTGGGGATGTTTTAAACGAGATACTTGAGACGGTATTGAAGGATTGTTGTCTATAACTGTACAGGTTTCTTGAAACTGATGTACACTGTACATTATGTAAGATATGTAGTCTATAATTATTGTGATTTGAGCAAACAGAAATTTAACGAGATAACTTGCATTGTACTGCTCATCGAGTTCAGCATTTATAATCGTGTCAACATTACTCTCTTAACCTATCGACAGATTGTACGTTTAATTTTTCTTGACAAATATGTTTTTAACAGAGTTTGCGTTTGAATAACATGAAGATAACGACTGTACAAATATCATTTATAAAATGTACATCTTTCGCGATTGGAAAGAGCAATTCTTGAAGAGCTGAGAATTTCAGTCTGCATCAAAGGAAACAAATATTTAAATTGAATCGACAAGATTGAAAGTTTTATCGACGAAATGACAACCGGTTCTATCTAACACGGTTTTCCTCTGAACCATGTATTTTGCAACAAGTTTCTACCGATAACGATTTAATACTTTAAGCGATCCGAAAATAAAGAGAGGAAAAGGGAAGAGGAACAAGCTGCACGGAATTTTCGCGTTCACAAAGCCAGCCTCGAAAACCGAGTCGACGTTACACAACGTGCAATTACACTCGTAAAAGCGTCACGATTCAAATTGCCGGCAGCCCCGCCCCACAAAAAGGAGACTTTTTGCAATCTCTCCGGTAGAAACGCGTGATCGTTTCGCGCCGCTCGCGCTCCGGGAATTACGATCAAACCGGATTTAAACCACGCGAGCGTATCGTTCGCCGTTCGGATTACATCCCCGCGAATCGTTTGTTACATCTGGCTTGCCTGTATAATTTGCGTCAGTGCCATGGTCCCGGCCAACGACGAGTCGCGAAAAAAAGCTCGTCCAAAAAAAAATATCCTCCCTGATACATCGAGTTATCGAACAGAAGTATTCCGAAACAACGTAACTGTGTGAACTATGCGAAAGACGCTATAACGGCGTTATGTCGGTAATCCGTTACCAGGCTAGGTTTCAATATTCTGGAAAGGAGTGTGTACTCTTTTTGTTATATTATTTTACCGTTTCATTGTGAAGTTATATTGTTATACCGTGGGTTGGATAGAACTTAGATCTGGCTAGTTGGCAATCGAAAATAAAATGAGGATTCCGCCTGACAACTTAGGTGTACACAGTGTGATTTAAACCCCTTAATCTAGAATATCAGACATTACGGTTCAAATGATACTGACTCATATTTCTATCACGATGGAGTAATGAGTTTAGCACTGATCTTAATTAGTGCAATCAAGAATGGTTGAATATGAAGTATATGTAACATATCAAGTTTATCTCAATACTGCTGTCTGGAGAGTATGAGGTTAACCTCTTAGCAACGAGTTTAATACTGATCATAATTAGCACAGTCAAGAACGATTGAATACAAAGTATATGTAACATATCAACTTTGTCTGAATACTGCTGTCTGAAGAGTATGGGGTGAACCTCTTAGTAACGAGTTTAATACTGATCATAATTAGCACAGTCAAGAACGGTTGAATATGAAGTATATGTAACATATCAAGTTTATCTCAATACTGCTGTCTGGAGAGTATGAGGTTAACCTCTTAGCAACGAGTTTAATACTGATCATAATTAGCACAGTCAAGAATGGTTGAATATAAAGTATATGTAACATATCAACTTTGTCTGAATACTGCTGTCTGGAGCGTATGAGGTTAACCTCTTAGCAACGAGTTTAATACTGATCATAATTAGCACAGTCAAGAACGGTTAAATATAAAGTATATGTAACATATCAACTTTGTCTGAATACTGCTGTCTGAAGAGTATGAGGTGAACCTCTTAGCAACGAGTTTAGTACTGATCATAATTAGCACAGTCAAGAACGGTTGAATATGAAGTATATGTAACATATCAACTTTGTCTGAATACTGCTGTCTGAAGAGTATGAGGTGAACCTCTTAGCAACGAGTTTAATACTGATCATAATTAGCACAATCAGAAACGGTGAAACATAAAGAATATGTTCATTTCAATCTTGTCTCAACACCGTCTGAAGAGTATGACCTCTTAGTAGAATCATCGGAAATAATGATAAGAATCAATTTAACGGATAATCCTGAATCGTGGTCGGAAGAGTTGATCCGCGTACAGTAGGAAGACTGATGAAATTCAATTAGGAGAAAAGAATGGACGTAAGGACCAGAGAAACGGAGAAGCAAAGAGAGCAATTTAGGCGTGTACGCGTCGAGCGGGTGGCATTAATCGAATTTAATTAGCTAATTAAGAGGGAGGTAGGGCCAAAAAGACGGGAGAGACAGGAGGCAACGGGGTAGCTCGTTAACGGATCCACGTATCGCGCTCGAGGCGACCGAACAAAAACTATTAGCGTCCGCTCGAGCGAGCAGGCTGAAAGCTTGCTCGAGTGTCGCCGACGCGGCTCCGCTCCGCTCAGCTCGGTGCGATACGCGCCGAGCGGACAGGTAGCTGATGCGCGCCGGTTACAATAACGCCTCTCCAATTAGCCACGATATTTACATTATGACGCGATCGGCTGAAAGCCGTCGGAAGCGATCGAGCGCGAGTCGGCGTCGCAGCCACCCCTCGAGCCTCGTTTTACCCTCTTCTACCACCAAGTGCTTGCTTCTTGTCAGACACCCCGTTGTCGAATCGGTAGTCGAACGATTCTTAACAGCTTCAAACCCTTTCCTCTCTGTATTTTCGTTGCTCCGCCCCTCAACCCTTAAAATATGAACATGTCGGAACAATCGGCGAAATAACTGCGTTACATGGTCCGATCAGTGCGACAACTTCGTTAACCGTTTACGGTCCGCGGACTTTCTGCGCTACGGTAAATGCGGATAGGTTTTTCTGAGTTTTTATGTCTCGAGCTTTGGTTGGAGAGGTGGACATGGTTTTTGGTTTAGCGGCTCTGGGTTTGGGAACTTGAGAATTTTAGGGGGGTTGGAATTTGGAGAGGATTTTGGTCTGGAGGAGGGAAATTTGAGAATTTGGGATTTGAGATTTGGGGATGTGAGAGTTGGGGATGTGAAATTTGGGGATGTGAGATTTGGGAATGTGAGAATTGGGGATTTGAGAATTGGGGTATTTCAGAATTCAAAATTTGAGAATTTGGGATTTGAGATTTAGGGCTGTGAGAATTGGGGATGTGAGAATGTGGTATTTCAGAATTCAAAATTTGAGAATTTGGAGTTTGAGATTTGGAGATGTGAAAATTGGTGATTTGAGTAATGGAGATTTCAGTAGTTTTCGAGTTTAGGATTTTAGAAATTTTTATAATTCGCAGATTTGGGAAATTGTGCATCTAGAAATGAGGTATTTGAGACTTTGAGAAATTGAGAAATTTAAGGACCTAAAAATTTGTAAATTACAAAATTGAAAAATATAAAAATCCACTTACAGTACCAACAAAAAGTCTAACAAAGGATCTGTAAACTCCACATAGCCCCGATAAAACTGATCGACCATGCCAACATGCAAATGACAGCCGCATACTTCGAAATTTCTGCAGGCGATTACGATTCAAAACGCTACGCGAACGTCGCGCAATAACGAGCTTCGCGCGACGCATATCAGACGATTCGTATTCTCTGTTAGCGTACGATTTCACTTACCAAGGTGTTCAGATCCTTATTGAGGTCCTCCAGGTTAGGGCCAGCAGAATTTCGATTCTGCGCACGCGCACTAGATCCGCTGACCGACGCCAGGATCCTCTTACGGTGCGCTGGCTTTTGGATCTCCAACACTGCAGCCAGTTCGACCTCCCACACTCTTCTCACTCGATCCATGTCCGTGTACAAATGTTTCTTAAACGTTTCAGCGTAATTTTCCAGGTGAATAGTCTTCAACCATTCGTCCACCGATTGACTGTTCCCTGAACGTTTATCCACGCGTTTGTTCAGCAAATCAACGGCATCCATTATCACGGCTCGCTCTTGGTCGCTGGTGATCCCCATGTCGTTCAAGTCGGCCTCGTCCAGAACTCCGTTCTGCAAACGATACGGTTCAATTGATTTGTCGTTGATGGTCGAAGAACAGACTTCGAGGATACTCACTATGAAGTCGAGATCGTCGAAACCGTAATTTATGAACAGAGTCTCGTAGTCGGCCAGGCCCAACGTTGACAGCCACTGACCAACGGAAGTTGAAACAATGGGGCTGCTGCTGGTGTCTGAACTCAGACCTGCGTGCAAATCAGATGGGACTGCTAATTTCATTCGATTTTATTCTGCTGCGTTTGTTCATTTTCATAAAGACTTTGACAGCCGTTTAAACTGTTCAAGGAGATTTACATACACGAATATTTACATATGTGGATGTACTACTTTACATATTGCTACTTCTTGTACATTATAAATTCTTTTACAATTTGTTCATACAATTACTACATATTTAAAATGAGTATAAATCATTTCTTTTGTTAACCATAAAAAAATCACCTATGAACATATTAGTCTTTTCTACATACAGCGGTGTAAACACCTTAAAAAATTCTTGACATTTAACGCTATAAACGTTACGTAAAAACTTCGATGTTCAAACTAGATGGAAGTATATGTGAAATAATTGAATGCAAGTAATCACTTTCCTACGATCTTCAGACTATTGCGTGAATGTGTTACCTAATTCGAAGAAAAGTTGAGTGACTGATTAACGAGGGAAAGCTAGCACGTATGAAGCGGAAGGTTCAACGTACCTAATCTCGTCTGGAACTCTTTCTCGAGTTCAGTGACGAAGACGGATTCCCTGACTAGTCCTGTTCCGAAGGACGCCATGATCTCGGAGATCTTGGCCCATTCTTCCTGCTCGTCGAAGGGACTCATTATGCTAAGGGATTTCTCGTCTCTTTCACGGTCACGATCCGACAACCGGAACGGAACTTCACCGTCTTCGATTCGTTCTCCGCCTCCACCCTCGCCGCCGGATCCCATTCCGCATGCGGATGGCCCGTAAACGTTTCGCAACCGACGTAGCGTACGTGGTCGTTCGGCTGTCACGGATCCTTTTAACAGACCTGTCGAATAAACACAATTTCATACAAATATTTCATAGCGTCACCTAAGAACACATAATTTTCAGTTTCATTTTCTTGCACGAATGTGTCGGCCATTTTGTCGCGCGACTCAACTGGATAGTGTGGGTAAATTCTTATAAATGTATCTCATACAATAATTTTGTACTGAAATATATTATTCATAATAAATGTTATATTTGAACTGTTCATAAATTTCAAGTGTAGCCATTGTATATCATACGAACAAAAATATGCATATGTTTGATGGTAACTGGAATGTAACATCAAAAGTAGGATGTCAGTAGTTTTTGATAAAACAGGTTAAAAATCGCTAAGCTAGTTTGAGCCATGTTCATCAGAATTCTTCACATAAATTATTCTTTACAAAATGATACAAGATTTTCTATGTAATGCTTTCATTACCTATCTTCGGTTAATTTATTCATTTCCACTTGCATCGAATTAATGCTACTGAATTTGTCGGCCGTATTACTATAATACTACTATACTACATTACTATAACACAAGCTACCAGCTGTTGAGGTCCAGATGCATTATCGAAGGGTTTTACGATCATGCTATATCCGAACTATATTCGACTTATGAACGTGTTCCCGCCAATCGTACATCCAGCAAATGTAGCGTTCTCGAAACTCGGCCAGCTAGCAATTCCGAATGGGTTTAAGCAGAAACAAGCCGCGAGGGTGTCTGGGATCAAGCGTCGGATATCCATAATGGATATGCTGCACATACGAACGGATTTCACGGATACGTTGAATATTCATCGCAGATTCGTCATTGTTCGATGCCTTCGCGAGATTAGTTCCCGGAAGATAATCAAGACCGACTCTCGACAACGGTGTCGTTCGACAATTAACGTGGTCCTCGGCGTAAATTACATCGGTCGCGGCCCATCGACGCGATCGGTTGCCGATAGAGATATTTCGCGTCGATCTGGCGAACATGATTTCGCAAATAAAAACGGGACGGAAAAAAGAGACGGAACTACGTATGGTGGCCATGCGTTGGATATTCAAAACGCATCCGGTTGTGTACTCTGAATCGCAGTCGCGGTATAACGACCGCTGGCAAATAAATTTCAGGTTCCATGTAAATAAAGAACACGGATAAACGTTTGAGGGTCAAAGTAGCATAAAAAAAATCATTTGCGCGTGCACTTGTTGCGAACGTTACATTTGCCCGTGATCGACGAGAGTGAACAAACAGGGCTGTGCACAACGTCATGGGCGCTGGAGCAAACGAATTTGCATCGCCAAAGACTATTACGATATCCCTGTTTCCTGCCGCAATCAATTCGATAAAAATGTGTATCCGGTGGTATATTGTACGCTAGCAAAGAGATAGAATAGCGTTAGTGCATCTGCTTATTTTGACTTATGATAGGTAACGTATCGAAGACATAATTTATTATTATTGCATTCTAATTTTTTTCTCATTTTTATTTTATTAAACTTGAAAGTAGAATGTTATTAATACGTTGATCTTTGGTCATCAAGATCTTTATATCTTTAAATTAGTACCCAGATGTCTACATCTCCAGATGTATTCTCAGATCCCTATGTCCTCAGATCTCCATTATTCTGGTTGTATGTATAATTAAACTTTCGGAAATTTCTGATTCGCAGATCGTATAATCGAGATGAATACGATAGTAGGATTAAAACAGAAAACTGCGAATTAATCACTAAAAAGCACCATCCCAAATGGATTGCTTGGAAGAAAAAAACAGCACAGAAGGTAGCATGAAAGCTACGTGATCCTCCGGTTACAAAGTAAAAACCTAGGTTCTGTTGATTTTCAGCTCGCATACCTTAAATGTATAATTGAAATGAACGGCGTGGCAGGTTGAAAAAAGAAAAAAGTGAATTAATCACTAGAAAAGCGTTATTTTAAACGGATTATTTGCGAGAGGAGTATCGCGATACGTCTGTACGCGGGGTATTCAGTATGTTGGTGAAAAAAAAGAGCAACGTTGCTTTCATCCGGGGTATTACAAGCAAAAAATCGAAGCTACCCGGCAAAAACTCGTAACGATATTAAATCTCCCAATGGCAGACGGTCGGCCACAGCCAATACCATTAAACGGAACGTGTAAACGTGGATACGGCGTCGTTCGCGATACCTTTCGAGCACTTAAACGCTCACACGGTCACGCTTCGACAGGTGCAAATAATTCCCCTATTCGTCGCCACGTTCTCCTCGTTCTTCGCCCTTTTCACGCGGCCGGGGCGGCGGGGTGTTTTTCAGCCCCGTCTGAAGGGTGTGTTTCGTCGTACACCAAAGACAATCGCGCGTCGTTTTCAGCGGCCGTGCACAATCGCCGCGTTGCAAATGGCCGCGTGGTCGCGTTCACCATGGAGATTCTTTCATACGAATTTCACAAATGAGAATTCGCGTACGAGACCCGGGTACGGTCCTCGGCCGAGAAGACGGGGTGCAGCCGGCTCGTCGAGGGTGAAGGCAAAAGAAAAACGGAAAGAAAAAAAAAGTACCACTTTAAGCAGCGGCTATGAACGCCTTTCAAAGATGCTGTGTGTATCCTCTCCGCGCAGGTACACTCGAGGAGCGTGTTGGCGAGCGTGTACGTACATCCTCGGCTCGTGAAAAGCTCATAAAAATATTAAACAGAGGAGGGAAGAGGCTGAGAGAGGTTGCACGAAAAAGGGGGAGAGAGAGAGGGGCTGGTACGCGCACGTTACAAGCAGCAAACGTACGTAATTTTAATTAAAGCTCCATGATGAAGGGCGTCGCCTGCTCGCGCGCACTCCAACCACCAGCGTTATATTATGTAGGCAGTTATTCAAGTCATATACACAAATTACATAAATCCTCGTCGTGGTCGTCCTTTTCTCCCGTTACCATCTTCTATCTGCATCTCCTTCACCTCCGAGCTTCTATCCTCCGTTTCTTTTTTTGATTTATTTTTATTTTTCAACCCTTCGTGTCTCCGCTTCCGTCCATCCTCCAGCTTTCCCTGCGAAAGCTCCACTCTCGTTGCCATTCTCTTCGTCGTTGCACGAGCGACCGCTGGCTTTCACGGCGTAATAGTTTCCCTCACGAGGGAATCCGTTTAATCGCAGTAATTGGGAAGAGCTGCGACATTATGCGCCTTTTTCTTTCTCCTTTATTTCATCGCCGGAGTTTGCATGCTCTCGACGCGATGCCGCGTCACTCTGTGAGAAACTAACGTTTCCTTCGGTTCTTCTTCTTCTCCTTCGTTTTTTTCTACACTGCTACGTGTTCGCCGGTTTTTCGTTTTCTTCCCTTTACTTTCGTTTCTAATGTTTTTGCGTCGTACTACTTTTGGAATGAAACTATGGTGCTCGATGGCAACCGTGTGGAAACGGTGAATGCTATTTGCGTTACGATCCGATCTGCGTTCAGCGTTGCATCGTCGATACAAGTCTTTGAATCGATTTCGACGAGAAATATGGCCTGAAAGCTTCGACAGACGTCGAGTAGCAAGATGTGCATTTTCTACGTCTTTCGTCGTACACCAAAGACAATCGCGCGTCGTTTTCAGCGGCCGTGCACAATCGCCGCGTTGCAAATGGCCGCGTGGTCGCGTTCACCATGGAGATTCTTTCATACGAATTTCACAAATGAGAATTCGCGTACGAGACCCGGGTACGGTCCTCGGCCGAGAAGACGGGGTGCAGCCGGCTCGTCGAGGGTGAAGGCAAAAGAAAAACGGAAAGAAAAAAAAAGTACCACTTTAAGCAGCGGCTATGAACGCCTTTCAAAGATGCTGTGTGTATCCTCTCCGCGCAGGTACACTCGAGGAGCGTGTTGGCGAGCGTGTACGTACATCCTCGGCTCGTGAAAAGCTCATAAAAATATTAAACAGAGGAGGGAAGAGGCTGAGAGAGGTTGCACGAAAAAGGGGGAGAGAGAGAGGGGCTGGTACGCGCACGTTACAAGCAGCAAACGTACGTAATTTTAATTAAAGCTCCATGATGAAGGGCGTCGCCTGCTCGCGCGCACTCCAACCACCAGCGTTATATTATGTAGGCAGTTATTCAAGTCATATACACAAATTACATAAATCCTCGTCGTGGTCGTCCTTTTCTCCCGTTACCATCTTCTATCTGCATCTCCTTCACCTCCGAGCTTCTATCCTCCGTTTCTTTTTTTGATTTATTTTTATTTTTCAACCCTTCGTGTCTCCGCTTCCGTCCATCCTCCAGCTTTCCCTGCGAAAGCTCCACTCTCGTTGCCATTCTCTTCGTCGTTGCACGAGCGACCGCTGGCTTTCACGGCGTAATAGTTTCCCTCACGAGGGAATCCGTTTAATCGCAGTAATTGGGAAGAGCTGCGACATTATGCGCCTTTTTCTTTCTCCTTTATTTCATCGCCGGAGTTTGCATGCTCTCGACGCGATGCCGCGTCACTCTGTGAGAAACTAACGTTTCCTTCGGTTCTTCTTCTTCTCCTTCGTTTTTTTCTACACTGCTACGTGTTCGCCGGTTTTTCGTTTTCTTCCCTTTACTTTCGTTTCTAATGTTTTTGCGTCGTACTACTTTTGGAATGAAACTATGGTGCTCGATGGCAACCGTGTGGAAACGGTGAATGCTATTTGCGTTACGATCCGATCTGCGTTCAGCGTTGCATCGTCGATACAAGTCTTTGAATCGATTTCGACGAGAAATATGGCCTGAAAGCTTCGACAGACGTCGAGTAGCAAGATGTGCATTTTCTACGTCTTTTTAGTTTATCGGGTCGGAAACTTGAGTACACGATTTAACATTTCCTTCGAATGTTTACTGAAGTTCGACGAATTAAAGAATTTCTTTAATTGAAGAATCGAAGAGTTTACCAAACAGTTTGCTTAATTTTGTCACATCACTATGATCAACTTCCCAAAGAAACTATTAAAATGTAATTCATGATATCTTTCGAATATTCTATTCTCTTGGAGGTTACCACATAATGGGGCAATAAATGAATTCGACCGTGAATTTAGAAATTAAGGTCAACAT